CACCTGGGCTGTGTATATATATTGCCTTGGTTTGGCTAAGTTTGGCTCTGTAATCATTAGCGGTTGTTTGACTAGTCTGGGCTTTGCCTAAGCTGGTCTAACGTTTGTTTGGGTCTGTACCCTAACTGCACTGATGAGGCCGAACGGATTCGTCTGCAGATATTGGGATATCTTCCAGTGGATGCTTAGTTTATTTTGTCTTTCTGATCGGATTTTCTCTATTGTTCCGTTTTAATTTTATATATATATTTTTATATTTTTTGCATAATGTGGTCGTTTGCTCTTTATATATTTACTATATCATATATATATATATATATATATATATATATATATATATATTATCATATATGTAGCCTATCATATATATAACACATATAATCCATGGTAAAGGTCTAAGTAATAAAGAAGCACAACTTAAAACAATACTATTCTGAATTGTTACATTCTTCAATTATTACAATAAAAAAAATGGAAATAAATTGATTGGAAATGCTATTAGATCGTGACCGTATATAGGCCTACATTTTACAATAGATCAATTTCACTCCCTAAGCCTCAACATAATGACATTTGATGTGCATTCATTACCTGTGATGTCATAGAGTGGCGCCATTCAGAACTATAATAAAACATAAGACCCACATTATTGGTCTTAATAAGTAACTCGGTACCGGAGATAACAATGTTGTCTTAGTCGGTACCACACATCGGTAATTACATCGCCGATTCTACACATTCACCTTATTCAGTTATCATCGTTCTGAATCCCATGATAATTTTCATTTTCAGCTATGCAATTATATTATATAGAACTATATTATAGACTTACGAAACTATATATACTGAATAAAGTTCATATTTTTTAGGCCTATGTATTGTATATTTGGTTATTTATTTATAATATATATTTTTTATTTATTATCTCTTATTATTTTTAATTTTGTCCGATTCAGTGCAAACTCATTAAAAATATTTTAAAAGTTTGTTCTACTATGCAATTTGTAATACTTACAAACAGTATTCCATTATAGGTAATTATATTTAAGCATTCAATCTAGAACTGCCTACAGCAATCTGCTATTTATTTACGGGTTAGCTCGCGCAATAATTTAAAAAGATTTTATATTATGCAATTCCTAATACACAATGGTTACTTTATTAATACATCAAACATCTTGATAAAACATTAAAGAAATACAATTACAACAAGACAATATAAGAAGCACTAAATTCCAGAGACTTCCATCTCCATAAAAACAGCTCATGTGAATTTGAGGAGTGGCAGAAAAATGTCAAAATCTTGACTACTCATGAGACTAATGAATTTATCATAATCGTTCGAAAATAAAGTGTTTCTATGCTTAGAGTATTGAGTGCAGTTTATTATATGCCTATATTTTATATTATTTTGTAATGCATTATATTCATTCATAGGTTCGATAGGTTTGCTCTTCAATGCAGCAATCCTGTATTGTGTGCATTTCATCAAAACATTGTTTCTATAATGTCACTTGTTTTTATGATAAATCCATACATTTGTTTGTTATAGATCGGGATTAAGGCATTTATACCAATCAGTGGAAGATTTATCGAAAAAAAATACATCATTCTGTTATAGTTACTTAATAAACACACACGAGTTAATCAATTTACCGTCTATAATGTTTTTTTAAGCTTCTTGTCGTTTCTTTTTTTTGTAGGTTCGATCGTAAAAATATTATTCCGTAGCTCCTTTGCAAGCGTGTTGTTTTTATTCTTTGCATGACTCTTCATTTTGCTTCATTCATTTATTTGACAGGAACTCCGTTCCTTCATGGTATGCCGCCTCCCCACTCATCAGCAATCCTGTTTCAATGTATTTATTATTTCATTGCAATTTTAATGTTTATATTCTTTAAACTTTGTATATGTATTTGTATATTTTATGGAGAAAATAAATATAATAATAAAACAATAATATATATTATTCTACAGTGAACAGTGAAAGCCATTGAGCAGTTCACTCCCAAGAGTAACGAATAAAAACTAGAGAAACATTAAACTGAATATATCAATATAAAAAACAATTTTCACACATTTTAAAATATTATAAAACAGCTCATTTTGTAAAATAAATGCATTTTATATAAATATAATTATTATGTCATCACCATTGTCATCATCATCATCATTATCATCATCATCATCATCATCATCATCATTATTAGTATTAGTATTATTAACTTATTATTATTATTATTATTATTTTTATTATTAGGCCCATTATTATTAGGCCCATTATTATCATGGCTTGTTAATGGGCATAGGCCTATTAGCAATTAGCAGTTTTTAATCTTATCGATTTTTAAAATCAAATTATTTGTTTAAAATGATTTGATCGGCTTGCATGTTTGTTTGTTCATCCTTCTATTGTATTTTTTTTTTCTATTTCATTTTTCCTGCCGATTTTGACATAATCGAACTAAAGAGAAAATTATTGTCTACCAAGCCCCTCCATAAAAAAAAAAGTTGAATTAGGCCATGTATAAGGCATAGTATATACTTACTTCACGCTATTGCAGAGTTTATCGTCCTCAGTATTAACCTGAGAAAATCAAACATTTGGGATTTCCGACTACTTGAACTGTGGCCCCAGTATGTATAAAATAAATAATTAAATTTTGAATTGATAGGGCTATGCCTACTTTACATGTTGTACTGATTAAATGTGTCCCTATATTTAAAAAAAATAGTGATGACATAATTGGTGCAAAGATATAAAAATGACTAGTTCTACTATTGCAAGTAAAGTGTGATTTAAAGCAATTGAAACTGTTAGTCGGGTTCAATTTTAATTACCAATTCGTAACCAATTCATGTTATAATTGGCTTCAATTTTTATTTGATGAGGTACGGCTTTTGGCTGGAACTTGTTAATTTACATCCACCATTGAATCTCAATTAGGATATCAGAGGTGGCATATATCGTCTGCTTTTTTCAAGTTTCCAGAGCAACGCTTTCTATTGAATATCCCTGAAGATAGCTTAATGAATACGTTAGTACAGAACAATCGATGATGAATTCGTCCCGCTCGACGAAAAACCTGTTGAACGACAGCTGTATTCTCTGTATCAATCATTCAGCTTGAATTTAATTTCAGTTGAAGATGAAGGTAAAAATCGAATTAAAATAGTTGAAGATATACTATTATTTTTGATGATCCTCCGAAGATTACAACGAGTTTTATTTTAATCGCGCCTTGCATGCTAGCTCCGCTGCCCGTAAATATCACATCGGAAATGGATGTAGTTTAGCGTAGGTCTGTTCTGTGCGCTTTTCCCCCTGGGCAAAATTCAATATCTTTAAAAAAGGAAAATAAACCGTTGTGTTAAAATATTTTACAATTAATTAGACTTAATTACTGACGGCGGATGCTATACTCGAGAACCTAATTGTCGGATGTGTGTTGTATTTTTTTTAAATTCCCGTCTTGATAAAATGTGTTTTGCCTAATAGGGTACAAACATCGAGGTCATTTAGATAATTATACGGCCAAGAATAACAATGCAACAGAGAAAAGTTAGCCTAAAATATCCCCACTTTCTGTCGGTATCAATCGTATTTAAAAATAAAGAGGAACAGTCTGTCTACAAATAGGAGACGATGTACCTAAGAATAACCTGGAATAATGTTTCGTTTTCTTTAAAAAAAAAAATGCTAGTGTTCGATTTCTCAAACGTCCAAATTCCAACGACTCTCATCGCTAACAAAAACCATGTCCAGACTATCACATTCCATTTGACGAAAAACACGTCACATGCCTAAATATGGTCATGATGACATCACATCATAACCATATATAGGCACATCAAGACTATATATGGGCATAAAACAGTTTTTTTCCCAAAAAAATTTGATCATCTGGACAGCGCTTTAAGACGGGCTGTATATATTCATTGTCACTGTTAACTTTCAGGAAGTTTGTTTTAACTACAAAACGGGAGTTAAAACGACTCCTTTTTTTTATGGGTATATGTACACCCAATTTACTCCATATAGAGTAAAATTAACCGATAAAATGGATTGAATGTACTCCAGTTATTGAAGTAAAGTATTCAAATAAGAGTAAAAATAACCAGAATTTGAGAGAAAAGTGTAATTCTACTTCCTTATTAAAGTAATATTTGCCCTTTAATGTCACGTTATTAGATTAAAAATTACCAAAATGAAGAGTAAAATGTACTGTAGAGTAAGAGTAAATAAACTCACTTTCCTTATGTGTGATATTTCCGTGCTTACCTCAAACTGAAATCAGTCAAACTAGATCAATCACTATAAGCCAAATAAATTTTATTCAACAAACACGCATGTATATAAAGCTTATATAATTTACACAATGCTTATTGAAAATGTAAACATTCTTTTGACATAGAACGAAATACCGGTAAGCTAGCGTTCTTTGACATTTGAATCGTAGGCCTAGAAGAAAACCAATGGAACACCTTAAAGGAGATATGCCTGTGTTGAGCTTATCAACATGAACATAAAAATCATATGTGAATTTTGCTTTACTTGTATAAATAGGCCTAGTTCAAACCGACAGCTTTAGGTGCCTCTGTGCACCCGGTTGGGACAGCGACGTTGTTTCGACATTTGTGGGTGGAGCCCTGTTCTGGACACGTATGCTGATAGCCCTCGTACATTTCGGAACTGTTTTTAGTTTGAGTCAAATATATTTACTACTTGTTCTTTGTTGTAAAGCGCATTGAGGCTTTTTGCGGAATGCGCTATAATGTATGGTGTAAGAAGGAAATTGGAGTAGGGGTGATTTGGGTATGCGTGTTGTGCACCCGGGTGTGACAGTGACGTTGTTTCGACATCGGTGGGTGGAGCCCGCTTCTGGACACGTAGCGCTCGAACATTTCGGAACTGTTTTTAGTTGAAGTCAAATATATTTACTACTTGTCCTTTGTTGTAAAGCGCATTGAGCCTCTTTGCGGAATACGTTATACTGTATGGTGTAAGAAGGGAATTGGAGTAGGGGTAATTTGGGCCTCAGTGTTGTATTCATGGAGAAATGAAGGGGGGGATTAAGATTTTGATGTTTGTTTATCTCTTAGATTTTAGATTTGTCATGTTTGGATTATGTTAGTTTTTTTTTTTTGTTTTTTTTTTTTCCTTTTTCTTCGACGCATCGTTACGTACGTGTGCCACTGCTGTAAAAGTGTCGATTCCAAGTAAAGAATATATAAAGAATAGACCTTCCGGCTAAGCCTCGTCGACTCCATTGTTGGATATCTTTATAAGGTACAGCAAAACGACAGCGTAAATATACATGTAGGCTACGTAAAAACGTGCATTTTTGGGACATGCGCGTCCACATTTTTAAATTCTCCATTATAGTCTTTTTATTGAACATGATAACAAGCAGTATTTTAAAAGAGATTAATGATACCAGCATTTGCAGATATACTACTTGTGCTATCACTAAAAATCGAAGTTTATTTACATAATGGTTTAATATAAGTTAATTTGTTTGCCGACAAAACCAAGGGAGAAACAGTAGTTAAAACATAAATGGAAAGAAATATGATAATAAATGTTCTGAATTAAATTGAAAGGCATCGGACCTACCCACTTATATATTAATCCATCTTTAATAACTTATATAATTTTTAATTATATTGTTTACTGTTTATACATACATATACAGGCACTGGCCTCAGCCAATGGTATGCATTTGCATCAATAAGATAATATTAATAAGCACGTTCCACAGCTAAAAATAGGCCTGGTATAAACATTGATACAATCAAATAACCCTCGTTTTTACATAATTTTTCATCTTTTCAGTATTTTGCTATTTAACTTCAGTATTGTTACAGGAGAAATATCCTTCACAAAAGCCAGATCATGCTACGAATAAAATGTAACAAAAGAATTTGTCCAAGAATAAAAATAGACAATGAACTCCGCCGAAACTCAAACCCATGGACCCCTTTGTATAAAAAAGAAACAAGTGCCAGTAAATATTGAAAGTTCTTTTTTTCTTTCTCTCATTAATATTTCTAACGTCGCAACCATAATGTCAAATAGGCCTCATCTTTAGAAGAGAAGTTTACCAATGTTAAATAATTTGAGAACTGATTTACATAATATCCCATTTTTGAAATTACGAATCTCGTGCGCGTTCGTTACGTAGACGCTCTCAATTATATTGATGATGTCGCAGGTCCCTCTCGCTCCCCATCCAGGTTAGCAACGGACCCTTAGAGTATTGCACAGGCTTGGATGATTCCTAGACGAGTTCTTCGAATAATTATTGCTACCCTTATGATGGGATATTATGCAGTATGAAACTGAGTATGCTAAATCAATTCACAAATTATATAGAATTGGTAAACTTCGCCTTTAATTCTTACAAGTGGATGGTTGCGTGTATTTTTTAGAGACAGTATTTTGGTTTCTTTTTAAGGAGTGGATAGGACTTGCGTTTATTCTGTCACCAAATTGTAATCGTATTTGTTATATTTTTAACGTACCATATTTTCATAATGTAGGCGTATTATGTATAGGCCTATGGTTATTTTAACTTTCAACAGCGCTTTATACATATATAGTTTTAAATAATAAAGAAGAGGAGTGTTCTTATCTTTTTACCGATTTAAGTCTCTCTTTTTTTTCCTTATTTTATACACTTTCAAAGAGAGAACAATATTGTTGTACCAACAATGTATCACTGTGTTGTATTATAGAGGGTATTTACGCTGTCACACCTACTGCACATAAGGTACAGATAAACTTTGTTGGGTTTTTTTTCTATTTAAAAAAAATAAAACCGTATGTTACACTTTACTTCAGCCTCAATTTTTTGGTTCTTTTGTTCTTAATTTTTTAAAACAAATTCAGCCTCAGTGTTCTTATGAAGTGAGTAATTAGGCGCTATAGAAAATATTATTAGATTATCACCCTATCTAGGCTGCAAAATTGATGAGGGAGGGATGCTTTTTTTATTTTTTATTTATTTTGCTAAAGCCAAATATCACCCCTGGATTGTTTGATATTCAACATGATTTAAATTATACAAACAATATCTACTACCGGTAACTATTTAATTAAAAAAAAAGTGAGAAAAAAAAGTTTTCCCAAAAGAAGTACCATAGAGGCGCGGGGGTGATAAACTAATAATTTTTTTATTGGGCCTTATTTAAAAAAATGGGGGTGGGGAGAGGGATTGGTGGTTGAGGAAGCAGAAACAGGTGGTATAATCGAAAGTGACTTTCCCCATGGAAGCGTGTGAACCTCCATACTTTCACTAATCTTATTTTAAATACATTTTATTTATAATAAAATATGTGCACAGTGTAATATATAGTTAGTTCGGCACAGAAACAAATAACGACTTGACTGATAAAGAAAAGGAAAAAACATTTCTTGTTCTGTTTATTCCCCCGGTTAATTTTTTTTCGAAGCTGTGAGGTGAGTCAATTCACGGCGGAGCATTTCGATCAGATGGTGGTCACGCTTAGTTAAGTTTCAGGGTTTTTGAATTAAAAAATCTTGTCAGAATCCGTAGTGATAATGATTATGAGATATCCATGTAAACAGCCCTTAAAACGCACTTCTCAGCATCACGAAAAAAATATCTGTGTAAATATGTGACAGTTAAATTATTAAAATTGATATACAATGATGATTTCTTTGTTCTACTGGACATTTTTAAGGACATTTGGAGGCCCAAATCGGGATACCAATAAGTGCTCAAATTTTATAGCGAATTAGCATGTTAAGTTATAAGATTGAACAACCTCACATCATACAAGGCCTATTTCCTCATATTATCCGAAATTAGATTGAAGAACAAAATTCCGACATTAGTCTAGAAATATCAATCATGAAAATTCCCAAAACTGCGTTAATTAAAATGAAAAAAATAAGTAATTAAAATTAAGTAGAAATTCGGCCTATGTATTGCAAACTAGAGTTTGTGTGTAAGCATGCCGCGGACGGATAGCGAATGCTTGAGGGAGTTTGTGCGTGTTGGTCTAAGTTGGGATCCTTGAGCAAATTAGACACATATGAATATAAACGCAAGAAACGCAAGCTTACTCAGCCGGGCACTCACTGCGGCGTACTACCGTCAGCCGAAAAATCCAACTCCGCTCCCTGTGCACATTGTCTGCTGATTATCGTTGGCAGTCTGAACGGATTGTCATTAAAAACGATCCGTCGCGCGTTGCGTTCTCCATAGAATCGCGTCGGGCGACGACCGCCGGGCGCGCAGTGAGTTCCCGGCTTACACACCAAAAATAATCTTCTACCGCGACTTAAAATGAGTATTAATAACCGAGCCCAAGGAGGGTTTAACAAACACATACCAGCATTACATAAGCTGTACAGTAAATAGGCATTCGTGTCTCCGAAATATTTCAAAATATTATATTGAAATATTCAATTTACAAAATGTTCTTTTGAGAGTTGTATCCCGAGGCCTGGCTGAAACATTAGCAACGCATGCATAGTTGGCGCATGTCGTCAAGGCTCTTGGAACCCAGCGTAGGCCTATCTAATCATTCATCTGATGGTTGTAAAACATTATTTCTAGTCAGTTGAATGACCTACCAGGGTAATTTCCATGTAACATGCATTATAATTATGACTTTATGTAAATATTATGCATTTTTGTTTGTAGATTTAATAACATTTCTAATTCCATTGTATATCTTTATTTGGTTCGATATCCCAATGTGCACCAGAACAGACCAGTGAGGCTTCAGGCGACCTTTTTGTAGGTGGCGTTTTCCCATTATCACGGGTCCGAGTTTCACACGAACATCATTGCATTGATTGCTTGTAATCGAGCCAACGTTACACATTCCCTACATCGCCCCAATGTAGGACATACTGTGTAAGGTAGGCCTATATTGTGTTCATTTAGCATTTACTGTAAAAACATCTAATATACTTCGGTAATCTATTAGAGTTTGCATGACTTTGGGCGACAATGACATTAACATTTTTTTTATCTTTGGGAATTCATTATGCACATCTATTGTGTGGATCTCGTGTATCCGATTTATGAACATTTTGTGTCAAGCCATAAAAAAATCCAAATAATCTGTCATTTCCGCCATCAATATTAAAATTACAGCCATAATAACCATCATTACAACCCATAATTATTAATTATCCAAATAAGAATAATTATTTACTTGTACTTACACATCTAGATGTGTATAAGAGACAGCTCCAGAGGAATTGTATAACTGATTTCTCTACAACGCAAAGGGTGTTTCACCAAAAACTCGGGAACGGTTAATGAGATACAG